ATGGCTCACGCCTGTAATCCCAGCACTTTGGGAGGCCAAGGCAGGTGGATCACCTGAGATCAGGAGTTCAAGACCAGCCTGGCCAACATGGTGAAACCCTATCTCTACTAAATATACAAAAAAAAAAAAAATAGGCAGGCTTTGGTGGTGGGTGTCTGTAATCCTGGCTACTCAGGAGGCTGAGGCAGGAGAATTGCTTGAACCCAGGAGGCAGAGGTTGCAGTGAGCCCAGATTGCACCATTGCACTCCAGCCTGCTGGCAGAGTGAGACTTGGTCTCAAAAAAAAAAAAAAAAAAAAAAATAGAGGCTTCATCCTAAAAAATTGGAAGCCCCTACACACTAGAAGCACAATTATAAATAACTAACACCTAAGTGCCGCTTATGTCCCAGGCCCCACTTTAAGTACTGTATGTTAACAAAGATAAACCCAACATCAACCCTGTAACATAGCACCATCATCATCATCTTCATACCTATTTTAAAGCTAAGGAAACTGATCACATATAAGTTAACTAACTTGCCATTGTCACACAAATGGTAAATTACAAAGCCAATCCTTGAACCCAGGCAATTGGTACCCTGGGGTCATGTCATTAACCCCATTGCTATGCTTAGACCAAGTCAATACTCGGCTCAAGGAAAGTGATCAACTGGGTCTACAAGGAGAAATAGCCAGATTACCTGCATGACCAGCTTCCCTGGCCAGTGCAACCTGAACAATAACTCAGGTCAGGTCATCCCAGGGTTATATAAAGACTGACTGCTACAAGGGCTTGAGGTGGCTGACAGTATAAAATGTTTTCTGTGCTTCTGATGCAAGGTAAAATTTGATTTACAATAATAGGCACAGAATGATCATGTTTATACTCACAACCTGGCATTTTATTATTATTCCCCTGAATAACAGTGAAAAGAGCTTTGTAACCCCAAGGTAACATGGTTCTGTAAGGAGGAAAGAGGGGTGAGATTTAGCAGCAGCTGCCATCATAAATCAGTGTGCGGCTATTTCTCTCAGAGCTCCAGGCTCAACTCCTGGCTGTCGTAAACTTATAAAGGAAAGCCCCTGAGAATTTATGTAACGATGGGAAGACTCATTTTCCTTCCTGCAAGAGCCTTTCTGAAGCAAGGAGAGAATTAGGCCGATTAGACTCTATATGAAGAAAAAAACCAAGCCAATGGTTTAGAGGAAGGGAAAATGTGGGTCAACTTGAGCTACTTCCCTTGCCAAAAAAATGACCTTGTAAATAGAGAGGAACATGCTGAATTCTACCAAATAAATGAGTGACTGGATGACCAAATGATTTAATAAATGAGTATCATCTAGGCTTCCTCCAGGGCGGTTCTTTCTGTGTAAAACAGTTCGATCTTGGAGTCACCCAGAAATGCCGAATACATAACAAGGCCAATCAACGGAGTTCGCTTTTGAATATTCATTCACAGATGATGCTCCCAGTCAATATGTTTGATTTTTTTGTGTGTTTACTAATAGATTTTCAAATTCACTGTGTAAACCAAAATTCCTTTTTTTTTTTTGGAGATGCTTTGTAATTAGTATATTTAAGAAGACAATACATTTCAAGAATTGCTTAAATTCTGATACCCAGATTTAAGCATGTGAACATATGATGAGACTTTTAAACATACAATTAAAGCTATTCATCATAATTTGCTCTACTACCAACATTAGTTACTTTGGGGCGTAAGTCAAATGGTTTAAAGTAATCCTGTAACATACCTAAAGAACACCTTCCTACATTACGCATGCAGATTACTTCTCCACATAAAGGTCTTTTCACTTTAATTTTTATGTTACCCAGCTCTGAAGTCACTACTTAGGTTTATCATGGTCCACAGACAAGGAGGGAGGGGGTGCTAAATAACCAGGACTGGTCAAGATACATATGGATATATATATGGATGGCACAGCAGAAGGAAACAATTCTGGAAGTGCAAGCCTTCAAGAAGCAGCATATTATGATAAACCCCTCCTACAGAAAGGTATCATTTTAATTACTGATACCACAGATAAATTATATATCACGCCATCTTCCAGTAACAGTTGAGGCAATAGAATAAATGCAGAGGCATTACAATGAATCCCGCTTAATACAAATAACTATACAGACCAACACTTCTCTACATTTTTTTTTCCTCATTACCAATTAAATACAGTTTTACTTTCATAGCTTAACAATGAAGGGTCATACACTGAAGCCCATACATATACCTAGCATTTCAATCTAAGCTTGTCCACGCACATAGCTGAAGTCAATTACAAGGTCTGATCTAGAAATGCTGGGGGAACTTCTTTGTAAAGTAGTTTTTACAGGTATTAGACTGTATTTTGCACACAGGTCATCATACATACAGGGCAAAGTCAGAGCTTTTATATTTGCGTATATTGTTCATTTAACTTTTTAAAACACTACTATAGTTGAATATTAAAAACAAGAGCAAGTAGTGAGCATATTATGATTACAATCCTTCCCCATTTACTACTGCACATAAAATGCCAGCAGTGAGTGTTATTCACTGGCCCATTAAGAGGTCTGACACTGAACACCACCTCTGGGGTGATGTTCATCATCCTCATATGCTTCTCCATTGTAATGGCGCCGTCTTTCCTGATTTGGATCAAAGTCCACCAGTTCTATTGGATCCACCTCATCTGTCTCTTCCATTTCCTTCCTCTCCGGTAGCAGTTTTTCCAGCAAAGGCAGTTTATCAGAAGAGAGAAAGCCATTCTCAGGAAAGTTTACCTTAAATTCGATGATTAGGCGACCTTTTTCATACGGTCTATGATAAATTGGCATGCCTTCATTTGGTACACACTTGATATCTCCATGCTTGACAATCTGACCTGGATGAGAGGTGATAACTATGGTTCGGTTGTCAAGAGTAGATATCGGCTTTTGGAAGCCACACTATGCTACAACCAGCTGTATGTCCATACACATGAAAAGGTCTTCTCGCCGTCAAGTAAAAACAGCATGGTCCTTCTGATCTAACACAGTGATAATATCTCCTGGCTCCCGTCCTGGTTCTTGTTCTCCTTCACTGTGGAATGTTATCTTCTGGCCATCTTTCATGCCTTTGTCAATATAAACCTCTAGAATCTTCTTCTCTCGAACTAGCCATTGCAGCTTTTACATTTATCTTTAGGACTGATCCGCTCCCCACGGCCCTCGCGCTCCATGCACACAGACTGAATTTGCTGAACCCTTCCAGGTCCTATCTGATGAATTCTTATTTGCATTCCAGTACCTCGGCAATTGAGACAGCACTCTACTGCTCCTTTCTTACCTCCTCTACCTTCACATTTGTCACAAATCACATTTTTTTGCAGAGCCAGTTTCCTTGTTGCAGCATTATATAAGTCTTCTAGGGTTACTGAGAGCTGACGTACAACATTCTTACCTCTCCTTTCTCTCTGCGTCCTTCCTCCTCCTCCAAAAAACATACCAAAGATGTCCACGGAGAAGCCAAAACTGCCGCCTGCTCCACCCGCTTTAATTACCTGTTCTCCTCCTTTGTCATATAATTCCCTTTTCTTTGCATCAGAGAGAACTTCATAAGCTTGAGAAATCTGTTTAAACTTCTCTCCGTCATTTGGATTCTTATCAGGGTGGTACTTCAAGGCCAGTTTCCTATAAGCCTTTTTCAATTCTTCCTGAGTAGCATTGGGTTTGACCCCCAAAACATCATAGTAAGTGGTTTCTTTCACCATCTTCTACTGCCGGTGAGCGGGCTGAGGCCAGTGCGGGAAGGAGCGTGGAGCTGTGTGTAGCTACCGTTCCTCCGCCTCTCACCCAGCGTTCTGGAAAGTTCATCCCAAAATTCCTTTTTTTTTTTTTTAAAAAAAAAAAGAAAAAGGAACTTGTGTTGAAAGCATACATTATTTCTGGGCACAGTTGTCAGATTAAAATATTTATACTAAAAATTATTCATTGCTTATCTGAAATTCTAATTTAACTGGGCACTCTGCATTTTTATTTACTAAATCCAACAACCTCTTTCTGGACCAAGAACCCTACATAGAGGAGAGGATAGAAGATAATGTCTAGGGGACATGCCTGTACCTGGGAGTCAGAAGTAACAAAAACCGAAGAAGGAGCTAGAGAAGCAGATAGAGGAGTTTGCAGAAATATGGAGAGAAAGCTAGGTGAGTATGGAGCTCTGATGAGTAGTGACACAGGTGTGGGGGAGAGGTGGATATCACGAGGGTGCTGGGTTAAGAAAGGCCTGATCGCTATAGAGTTTGGCCTTTCTGAGAAGTTCTAATGAGTGGTTCTTGATGAAGTTGGGGTGGAGATAAGGATACTTGTCAGAATCACCCAGAATATATCAAAATTGAAATCTATATACCAGAAGTAGTGCCCTTCCTCTGGAGGGTTAGGGAGGACATGAGTATGTACCTCTTATCAACCCAGAACTCCAGTGGTCCAGTTTTGGGTCCATGTTATGGTTACTAAGGCAAAAAATAAACTTGGAAAATAACATATAAATCTTTTCTTGTATTTTTCTTGAAAATGAAGAAGGAGGTCTATAATTTGCCATAACAAATTCAGAAGTCCTTTTCATCTTCCTTCTACCTCCTTCACAGCCTCTGCTGTCGTCTGGTGTACTGCTCTCCATAATTTCCTCAGATTGCAGAAATCCCCCTCCTCCTGTCTATTTATTTTTATCACATAAATCAACTTAGCCTGTCTTTCAGCAAAAAGGTCCAATCAACTTCCCCAGTCCTGTCCCAAATGATCTGAAAAATGAAGCCTTTTAGAAGCAGGGAAGGGTGTGGAACTGAGCTAGCAATTACAGAATATTCTTTGGCAGTATTCTGGGAAAGGGAAAAATATGAATTTTCTTGCCCTGTCCTTGGTATTTTGTAAAGATTTCCAAGTGACTTTGATATCTGGCCCCTTTTGAGAACTGCCGCTCTTAATCAAGACATAAAACTTTTTCATTTCTTGAAAAGTCCTATTTCTTGGCAAATTTCTCCCAGCAAAGTACATTCTTTTTTCTGCACTGACCCCAGAAAGAGGTGCTATTGTGTGGGAGTCAACACCTGTCATCTGTCTCTACAAAGTCCACAAAGTACCATGCCAGAAGCAGATAACTCAGAACATCTACCTGATTCTCCTAGTCAAGATTCCTGGTCTGACTAGCATCTCCCTGAAAAAAGATGCTGAGCTTGGATGATCCAGCCACCTTCCTATCTGGGATGAGCCTAAGGATGCTTCTTGGCTTCCACAAAGCTGCCTTGGTGGTGATGCGGTGGCAACCACAGGGCAGATTCACAAGGACCCAGTCTGGAAGACCTGAGCTCTGGAAGCGGGCAGCCAGCCCAGCAGGACATTCGTAGGGGTGGGGTGTGATCTTAGCCTTCATTTAGCTGGCCTGGGAGTCCTCCAAGGGTCAGAGTCACACCACACTGGTCTGATCTCTCAAGGTTCCTTAGGACTCCAGGTGTTTTAAGAAGATTCTCTGGCCCCCCACCCCACCCTTCCCACTTCACGCCTCAGCTCTCCCCATGGTTAAGAACCCAAGTGTGAACAACCCCAAGGTTGGTGGTAAGTGAGGCCTTCAAGCACAACCCTAATCCTGCCCTTTAAAAAATATATTTTGGACTTAAGGGAGGCTGTCCTCAGCTGTTTCAAACCTATTTCAGAGTACCTCCACTCCTTCAAACCTATTTCAAAACTCAGGGAAATGTCGCCTTTCCAGACAAACTCTAGCGACAGCTCCATTCACCCCTTGGCATTTGACTGCTAAAGATCAGCTGACCCCTGCAGCCAGAAGGAGGAGAGAAAATTACTAAACGGGGACCTAATTCCCAGAGGTGATCACCTTTAAAAAGTCTGGGCCTTGTTTGCCAGCTTTGAAATCTCAAAGGGTTATTTTAGCTTCATGCCCCCAATGTGAATAAAACAAACAACATAAACCACCTATAAAATCTAAATTCAAACTTTCTTGTGACCTGTGCATCATTTTTTTTTGCATTCACATTCTCAGTCAAAACAACACAAACACACACACATGTACACACACACACAGAGCAGATATATAACTATATGTAAATATCTATATATATAGAACAATGTCCTCTGAAGAATATAAATTTTAATACAAGTAAAATTATCATGAATTCCATAACTCCTTCTGCGGCCTTAGTCCACATTAGGTTTTCCATTAAGAGACACTATTGTCATCTGCGAGTAGCTTCTCCTGTTGTGTTCTTCTGTGCAGGACGAGGGGCTGGAGCTGTGGATATTTATGAACCCCAGGCACCCACTTCCTGTCTTCGTGGCGGCCGGCTGTCCATGCCTCTGTGCCTTTTTCTCTGCCTTTGGCCACCAGATGGCGTTCTGGAAACGCGTTTTCTGCATCAAAGCTCCCCTGCATTCTCTTAACTGGGCTCCCTCCCTCTTCTCTGTTCCCTTCCAGGCCATTTTCCAGGGTGCAGCCGAAGGGCCTCTCTGGAGGGCAAATCTGTGTGATCTCGGGCCAGTTATCTAACGCTCTGTGCTCAGCATCTTCAATGTGATGGCACGGCTGTGAGTGCCGCATGCGAGGATGTAGGTAAAAAACTCAGGACATGTTCTCATTATCCTGCTTTCAGCCTTTCGAATGCTCTCCACGACCTTCAGGACAAACTCCAAATCCTTAGCCAGGGGAACCCAGGCCCCTGCATCATCTGAAGATCCCTGCTTATGTCCCCAGCCCCACCTTCCTCCCTACTCCACCGCACAGTCCCTCTTGCAGCACGACCAGGAGTCCGCCTGCCCACCTCAGGGCCTTTGCCCATTTTGCTTCCGCCACTGGCTCTGCCTCTCCCCGCCCATTCAGCTTCCTCGGGCTCACTCCTCCAGGTCCGTCAGGATTCAGCGCATGCCCTTCAGGCGGAGCCTCCTGGTTCCCCAAGCCTGATTCTAGAGCCGCTCCACTGGACTCTCGCCTTTCATTTTCTCTGCCTTGCGACTGTTAGTCCCTTGTCTTGTTCACTGTGTGGCACACAGGGGGATGAATGGGGTCCTGACAGTGAGGCCATCATGTGGGCTAACAGCCAGCAGGGGGCAGTGAGCACCCTCGTGTCCCTGAACTCCCAGGGGTTGCTTGGCTCCCCTTTGCTTAGGCAGCACCTTGCCCACACCAAGCTGAGGGAGACCTGAGAAATGGGATTCCTGCCAAAGAGGCCAAGAAAAAAGTGAAGGCACAAATGCAAGGCCATCTTCACCATTTGCATATAAGGCATAAAACCTGGAAGAAAATAAGAGGCAAAATCATATAGTCCCTATGTACTGAGTGCTTTCTCTGAGCCAGGTCCTGTGCTGAGCTCTTACCCTGCCTCGTCAGATGGACGACAGCCCTTACAGAAGGAAACAGAGGCTCAGAGGGGTTCAGTTTCTTGCGCAATGTCTCAGAGCTTGTGAGTGGCCTGTCTCCAAGGCCATCCTGTAGGAGGTGGCCCGTGGATTCAGGCCCCTTGCTATTGTTTAATAGGTTTCAGTGAAATAGTTGAGAAACCTCAGGAGTGGCATATGGAGTTAAAGAAAAGGAAAGCCAGAGAGAAGGGAGGAAGTGCAGGCGACTGACCCTTAACCACCCAAGTCCTGATGGCCACAGGCCTCCATGCCAATGTGCCCTGACTGGGGCCACTTGGGTCTAAACATAGCACCTCTGGTCCCAAGGGCTTAGTAGCAAACACCCATCTAGGGAAGCTGGCCTTCATTCTCATCACCTCAAATGCTTCACAAACCTCAGGGATCAACCTTGAGGTGGGTGTAAGACAGGGAGAATGTTGGGGGCAGCAAATTGAGGGGGGCAGTGAGAAGCAATAAGGCCACCTCAAAGGCCACCCAAGCAAAGTGCACATTCACCTCCTTCCTTCCTGAGCTTCACCGTATGAGGAGGTGAGTGGGAGGGAGGGCATCCCTTAAAACATCTAAGAGGAGAGTTGGGGCAGCAAAGGAGTTGTGCTTCACAGGACTCTTATAAACAGAACTGGGGAGAGAAGAATTGGAGGAAGGGGGAAAGACACAGATGAAAGGGAGGGGAAGGTGTGGGAGAGGGAAATGTATAAAAGCTTCCAAGAGGAGTGGGAGGCTGGGGGTTCCCCAGACAGAGAATTAGGCTGGTCCAGATGCAGAGAACAATGGACTTCAAGGCTGGGGGGTGGGGGGCACGGAAGGGAAGGGGGAGGAGATCCACACAGCCAGATCACAGAGATTCTTGCAGCTTCTGGAATCAAGACGACGGGCACCCTCATAGGTCAGTGTGAGCAGGGAATGCCCCAGGGCCTATGCAAAATCCAGAGGTAGCCACAGGGTGGGGTAAATTGTGCAGATTACAACACTCACCCTTGTAATAACGTCACTGCCTGTGACTCGGGGCCAGCCCCAGGCCAAAGCCCTTCATGCATCATCTCATTTAGTCCTCACAATTTGCTGCTAAAGGGCAACTATTCTTATTCTCGTCCCCACTCTACAGATGAGGCCCAGAGAGGTTAAGTGACTTGTCCCAGATGACACAGCTGGTAAGTTGCAAAGTCAGAATTTGAACCCCAGTTTAGCTCTGATGGCTGCTCTGTTAATCACAGCTGCTTTGCAGTGAGACAAAAATGAATGATCAGGGCAGAATCAACAGGGAGAAGTAAACAAGAGGGAAAAAGACAGGAGTGAGAGGGGAATGAACGGGGAAAAGATGGGAACAAATAGAGATGGGGAAGGGGAGAGAGACAGGGAACATGACTTGCCCAGGAGGGGCATCAGTCCACGTGCAGGCAGGTGGAGGCTCAAGTTTTCTGCTCACTTGGTGATGCAGAGGTTCCCTTTCCCTCAGCAGCCATGTTGCTGCACAGACAGCGGCTTCCCATCTGGCCTGTCCGGGGAGCCCCCAGCCTCATCCTCCTCAGTGGCAGGCCGCTCAGCTTCACAGGAAATGCTCTTTCTCTAATTGGCATTGAAACTCACAGCCCTCCCTTTTCCTGTAGGTGGGGTTTCCATAGGAAAAAGCTGCTTCTCTGTTTCCCCAGCCTAGCAACTGTTTGGAAGTCAGAGCCCCACATCCTGCTCAACTGGGTCAGGTCCCTCTTAGACCGGCTCTTGTCCATCATTTGCTGAAGTGGACCAACTAGTTCCCCTGTGGGGTGTCTCCCCTGGCAATTCTTGATTGGTGTTTGGACATCTCAGATTGTTTCCGATGAAGATGGCCTTGCCTGGGGGTCCTGCTTGTTCCATCATCATCTAACTATGGGACAAGGTTGTGCCAGCCAGTCTGGGGGAAGGAGCACGGGGCTGATCAAGCCATTCAGGAAACACTGGAGGACTTGTCCAGCCTTGAAAGAACTCTAGCGGTTTCTGAATCTAGCCCACTTGGCGGTAAGCATGATGCAACTTCTGCAACTTCTGCTGGGGCTTTTGGGACCAGGTGGCTACTTATTTCTTTCAGGGGATTGTCAGGAGGTGACCACTCTCACGGTGAAATACCAAGTGTCAGAGGAAGTGCCATCTGGCACAGTGATCGGGAAGCTGTCCCAGGAGCTGGGCCGGGAGGAGGGGCGGAGGCACGCTGGGGCTGCCTTCCAGGTGCTGCAGCTGCCTCAGGCACTCCCCATTCAGGTGGACTCTGATGAAGGCTTGCTCAGCACAGGCAGGCGGCTGGATCGAGAGCAGCTATGCCGACAGTGGGATCCCTGCCTGGTTTCCTTTGATGTGCTTGCCACAGGGGATTTGGCTCTGATCCATGTGGAGATCCAAGTGCTGGACATCAATGACCACCAGCCACAGTTTCCCAAAGGCGAGCAGGAGCTGGAAATCTCTGAGAGTGCCTCTCTCCGTACTCGGATCCCCCTGGACAGAGCTCTTGACCCAGACACTGGCCCTAACACCCTGCACTCCTACACTCTGTCTCCCAGTGATCACTTTGCCTTGGATGTCATCGTGGGACCCGATGAGACCAAACATGCAGAACTCGTAGTGGTGAAGGAGCTGGACAGGGAAATCCATTCATTTTTTGATCTGGTGTTAACTGCCTATGACAATGGGAACCCCCCCAAGTCAGGCACCAGCTTGATCAAGGTCAATGTCTTGGACTCCAATGACAATAGCCCTGTATTTGCTGAGAGTTCACTGGCACTAGAAATCCAAGAAGATGCTGCCCCTGGTACTCTTCTCATAAAACTGACCGCCACAGACCCCGACCAAGGCCCCAATGGGGAGGTGGAATTCTTCCTAAGTAAGCACATGCCTCCAGAGGTGCTGGACACATTCAGTATTGATGCCAAGACAGGCCAGATCATTCTGCGTC